GTGCGCGGGATCCGGGACTTGGGGTGGGGGGGTGTTTGTCAAATACTCGAGTGCCTGAACTGGGCTGAATTCGAACTGGTGTGTTTGGGGTGGGGTGGGGGGTTAGATCTGGGTCCAGGATTTGGAGATGCACGAGTTTTTGTTTTTGTTTTTTTTAAGGGGGGGAGCAGAGATTGTGTCACGTAAACTAGAACTGGGGGTGCACGAGGATTTCGGGGGTGCCGGCCGGGGTGCAGGGAAAGACACTCCTGGCGCTTCCTCCCCCGCCGAACAAGCAGCTTTGCAAGAGCGGATATCCCGCGAGTTGTTGCGCCCCGAGCTGGAAGCTGGTTTCGCAGGGAGGGTGTCATTGGGCAATCTTTCGGCTCGCCTGGGACTGGGCAAATGCGGAGCGGCGGCGGCGGCGGCGAGGGGGGGGGGAAGAGGTCGCGTAGACCTTCCCTGTCCTGCTGCTGATGGGATGGGACGGGCCGACCCCGGGAGGGTGTTCTTTACCAGAAGTGTGGGAGCCCCCCCACCCCGGCCCTAATTTATGCAAGCTCCTCCTCCCTCCCCAGCTGGAGTGGGGGTAGCAGCGGGGGAGAGTGGGGGTGTGTGCTGCTGAATCACTAGCCCTCCCCCGCCTCGATTGGCAGGTGGGGGCGGCGAGGGAGCTTGGAGGCGTTGGTAGGTGGGTGGTGAGAAGAGTGTACCTGTGAACGCGGCTTACTAGCGAGGGGCTTTGTTTGGAGTATGAGACTCCCGGGCAGCCCCCTAAGAGGGGGTTCGCTGCATGCCTGTAGGCTGTCAGGAGATCATGACTTAATTAGCCCTCCATTAAAGAAGATTATTATTATTATTAATGCTTTACCGTTCAAAACAGTTACCCTATCTGTCCCCAAAACTTTGGCCTTTGGTTCCAGAATATGTGTTAGATTTGAATCCAGTAGCAACTTAGATATGCACGTGTGTATCAATGCATGCAAGGGTACTTTGCGTGTGCTCAGACACTTTTAAAAACAGTGCAGATTGCAGGGCCAAGCTTTGCATGTTTCAGCAAAAAGCTTATTTCATTAGAAATCCTTTCTGGGATTAATTCCCGAAATCTAGTCTCTTGCACCCTGGCTGCAAAACTGTTGATCTCATTTTTGTCCTGAATCTTTCTCCAAGGAGGTCAGAGTGGCACATATGCTTCTCCCCTGTTCTAATGTCACAACAGCCCTGTGAGGTAGCTTAGGCTCAGGCTGAGAGAGGGAAAGTGTGACTGGTACCAGGTCACCTAATGAGCTTCGTGGCAGAGGGCCTAGCTACTTTTCCCTGGCCTTCCACCCACCTCCACCCCCCCACAATCAGGGGCAACATTGTGAGTTTTGTGATGGGAAATTCATTCCCACACCAGGGCCAGCTCCAGCTTATTTTGCACCCTAGGCAAGGATCCATTATGCCACCCCCCCTGTGCGCCCACCAATTTTCAAAAATAAATTCATTTTAGGAAGAATGAAAAACACAAATAATCATGAAACTCCCAGAGTACAGGGCCGAGTGCAGTTTGGTGCCCCTAAGGGCCATCCCGCTCTAGGCGATCGCCTAGTTCACCTAGTGAGTGAGCCAGCCCTGTCCCACACAAGTGCAGGTCTGCTTTTGGGTCAGGGCCTCTGTATGTATGGAGAGCTTATGCCTGTCCCCCCCTGCATTATTTTTCTGGTTTGAAACAGCCTTAGAGGGGCGCTGTTTGCCCTTGTGGAGAAACCTAAGTGCACCCCCATCAGTACACACTGAGCCTCCAATGGGTGTATTTTAGGTGAGGACAATGATGCAGGAGGGGGAAGGCATTAGTGCCCTGTCGCTGTGGACCACGGTCCAAATCCAAATTAGACCCTGCACACCAGAGTTCCCAGCACAGTACTCGTAATGCAAGTCTGATTGTGTGGACCTGGGTGGAATGGGGGGGGGTGGGAGTTAGGTGTCGTTATGAGCCGTGGTGAGAGGGGATATAAACCCAGGTCTCTCCGATCTTAGTTATTTGTTGTTTGTTTGTTTTGCTGTCAAGTTACAGCTGACTTATGGTGACCTCATGGGGTTTTCAAAATTGTGGTGGACCTCCTGATGACCCCTGGTATTTTTGTCCATTGTGTGACAGTGTGTTGGACTGGATGGGCCATTGGCCTGATCCAACATTGGCTTCTCTTATGTTCTTATGTTCAAAGCAAGAGATGTTCAGAGGTCGGTTGCCATTGCCTGCCTCTGTTTAGTGGCCCTGGATTTTCCAAATACTAACCAGGGCTGACCCTGCTTAGGTTCCAAGATCTGGTGAGATCAGGCTAGCCTGGGCCGTCTCTATCAAGGCATTAGTTTAATAGGCTAATTACTATGAACAGCTTCTCAAGATAGATCTTTAGTACTGTTTGTTTTACAGGTGAGAGACTGAGACCATGATCAATTATAAATTCTGCCAAGGCCGTTTACCGGCTCTCTCTCCCGTACAGACACCCAATACAAACTTGCCGCTCTCTGTCCAACTTGCCTTTTTTGGTAGGAGGGAAAAAAACAAGAGAGTGGAGAGCAGACACACTCTTACTTTGCATGTGGGGCATGACAGGAGCAGAACTCTCCATTTGAGCAAAGGTTAGGAATTGCCCAATCTCTCTGTGGACCTGCCCCGCACCCCTATCCTGTTCGTAAAAGCTGAAGTGCCCTCATCCCAATTCCCCTTTCCAGGGGACTTGAACATTCCGGGGAGGGACATATATGAAACAATGCCCTCAAAGAATTACATATGCCTCTTTTGGGGTACTGTGGAGCCTCCATGTTCAGATGTGATATGCTTTTGTATATCAGGTGCTGGAGCCAGGCTACAGGGGAGGGCCATCACCTTTACACTATGATTGCCATGTTCCAGAAGGCTTTTGGCTTGGTGCTGTTGAAAGCACAATTCTGGTCAAATCCAGGGGATCAGTTCTTAAGTTCTCATAGCATTTCTTTCTTCTTCAGAAAAGTGTTCGGAGAGTAACAGGAAAACTAGAAACCTGCCTATCGCATACACTGCTTTTCCTTGAAACACTAGTTTCAATTTTCATGTGTGTGAGTGTCATCATTGAGGGCCAATGTACTCTGCACATGATTAAGAGTCCCTTTTTGTTACTATTTGCTCATATATTCTGGTGTTGAGCATCTTGACATTAAATGGGGGGTGAGCATTCATGAGTGTTTGAAATTAAGATACTTGTGGGCCACCATTATCTTGCCATGTATTCAATTTACCAGAGTGTTTTAGCGACCTTTCTATTCCGCATGAAGGATGGGGTTGGAACTTTACTACATTTAATGAAATAAATAAATTTATACTCTGCTTTATCCCTCCCCCAATGGGAACCCAAAGCCATTTATAACACCGATTTCCTTTCCTCCGTTTTATTCTCACAACAACATTGTAAGGGAGGTTAGGCTGAGAGTGTGTGACCGGTCCACAGTTCAGCCAGCAAGCTTCCGTGACCCTGTGGGGATTCGAACCTGGGTCTGCCAGAATTTAGACCAACAGGAACTGCTACACCACACTGGCTCTCTAATGGGCGTGAGTGGGGTGTTCATTGTATAGTATGTAACGTTAGTAGTTCAGTGTTCTTAACCTTGTGTTCCAGTGCATTGTTCATTGTATGTATTATATTGTCCTCATTTGCATTGTTTTAAATTGTACAACACTGGCCTTACTGCGCCGTTTTAAATTGTGTAATCTGCCCTGAGTCTCTGTGAGAAAGGCAGTCCTTTAATGAAGTAAACGAATAAATTAAAATATTTTTAAATGCTTCATAAAAAAATTTTTATATCCGTGAAGCATAAGATCCCAGAAAATGTTTCTAAATGTGGCTAGCCTACTGGAGCTGAATAAATATGCAAATAACTACAAGATACGAAATGTCGTAAGTGAAAAGTTGTCAAATGCTTGTTCCCCAGCCTGGTTTCAAATGGCTGAGGTAACGTGGTGGGTTCCTTCGTGTCAGGTATTTCGGAGGGCAGGTGCTGGCCCGTTTGTCTCTCAGCATTGGCCAAGTGGTGATTCATGTGCCGGAAATGGGGCCTCCTCCCCTTTGCTCCCAAGAACCCCCCCAGGGAAGAGGGTGGGGACAGGAGGTGTCCATGAGCAAAAGGAACGTGGCACCAGGAAAGGCAAGGATAAGTGGGTCACTGTTGGCTCTTCACTCCGTTCCTCCTTCCCCTCTGGGCCGTGGACTAAAAGTTGGTAGTTGGGCCTTAGGTGAAGCACATGAGAGGAGTGGCCCTCTTGAGTGAACGCGAGAAAGCAAAAATATTGAAATCACAAATAAAGGTGTTCAAATTAAGGTTCTTTGAGTCAATCCGTTATTGTAAAACAATGAAACAAAAGGTGCCCACTGAACATCAGTTGCCTCAGTGGCTTTGGAACTGTGCTAGTCATCACTTTAAGGTGGCCAGTTTCCAGGTGGGAGATCTCCCAGAATTGCAATTGATCTCCAAACTACAGAGATCAGTTCCCCTAGAGAAAACAGCTGCTTTGGGGGGTAGACTCTGTGGCATTATATCCTGTTTATGTTCCTGTCCTCCACCAAACGCTACCTTCCCCAGGGTTCCACCCTGCCTAAATCTCCAGGAATTTCCCAACCCAGAATTGGCAATCCTGTCTATACGTAAAAGATGTTAAAATAAACCTGATGAAATGTAGCTATGCTTAAATCCCACCGGAAGCTTGAGTGAGTCGCGACTTGCTTGTCAAATTGGTTTCAGTGGGCGTCATGACTGACAGTGCCTGGATTGGGGCCTTGCCGTTTTACCTCCTCTTTTTTTTTTTTAATGAAGATTGGTAATTTGAGGAAGAGGCCTGGAATATCTCTAAGTGGGTTGGATCCTGTGTGGAAAATTTCCACTAATGGAAAGGGGGACAATTTTTGCTGATTTATCCCTCCCACTGCGAAGCCCTGATTCTTTTTGCACTGTTCTCGGGGCTTCCCAGTCCCTCAGAAGAAGCAGTGTTTCAGGTGATATTTTGGGCTGCCATGGCTGGGCAAGGAAGTTCCGCTCTGCTAATGGAAATCCCTTCTGTCAGCAGAGATTTACCACAGGATCCAAGCCAGGGCCTATCCTCATCTTCCCCCTTCTCCTGACCATGGCGTCCCCACCCACATCCTAACATGCATATTTTTTATCTTGTTCCCTGACAGCAAATTTGACGGGCCATGAGGAAAAAGTTGGCATGGAAAACTTTGAACTACTCAAGGTTCTGGGGACTGGAGGTGAGGAGAAACCACCTTCACAAAGTAAAGGAAGATGTGTTTCTTTCCAGTTTCTTTCAGGTTTTTTTAATTAAAACTTTTATATTTAGTTTTTCACAATATGTCGGGAACAGAATATGCGCGAAAACAAAAGGCAGAAAGCAAAGGCAGAGCATAAAGCATTGTAGCAAAAATAGCTGCCAGCAATGTTCCCTCTAAGCTGTGGAGTCTTGTGAGCAAAAATTCTACTTTGTGAGCTACTTGCATTAAAGTTGTCCGTGAGTGATTTGGCTACTGCATAAATTAGTTTGCTCTGGAGCCATCTTTCCTGAGCCAAGACAAAAATGTGTGAGCCGGTGGCTAAAAAACTGTGAGCTAGCTCACACTAACTCAGCTTAGAGGGAACACTGGCTGCCGGTTTCTTGTTTCTTTTTATTAATGTATTTGCGAAAGCACAAAAATGATAAATGACGTTAAAAAGTCTTTCAGCATATAGAACACGACTAGTTTCTAAAATACCATTATCGTATTCAGTACTGTCATTATCATGTTAAGTAAGTAACATATACATCTCCATGACAAAGATACAGAACTACCCCACAAATTTAAGACGTCATAAAACAATTTAAATAATAGAGAATAATGGATGTTTTCTAACGTCGTCCTGAAATGTATCATTGCAAGACATAATGAACATCAACCATCTCTGAACAAATGGTTTCTTGTTAGACTTATTACTTTTGACACTCCACCAATTTGTTAATGGTTTGGATCCTGCAGAAAATCTCTGCTGATGGAAAGGATTTACATTAGCGGAGCAGCACTTCCACCCAAAATGCCTTTGAAATACTGTACTTGGGGAACATGGGAACATACCCCCCCCCCTGCAACAGCATGATGGGGGGAGAAGTCTGCAATGAGAGGGGGAATCAGTGAAAATCCACCCCCCTTCCACCACCAGACATTTTCTGCTGGATCCAACTGATATCAACAATTCTTCAGCAATTTCCGATGGAGAGCCTGAAGTGAAATTTTGCACAGATCTGGAATTTTTGATTGAAGTTTTCCAAATGTGGATCAGAAGATTTGAAGCATTAGATTTTGGAGGCATTGATATATTCTGGGACAGTAACATTTTAAGACGTCTGTTTATCCTTAATGAGGTCTGCCCACTTACATCTTCAACAGAGGACTTACTCTTGGGGTTGGATCCAACCAGCTCCTTTAATGGTAGTGAAAAAGAAAGGAAGGTCACCCAAAAGGCTATGCTGGGCATTATGGGACTTGCGTGGACAAAAGCCATATGGGGTAGGGGCTGTAGTGGAAAATTAGGGGAGACTGAAATGAAAACATGACCAGATTCAACCCATGATGCCTCCAACACTACAGATTAGAGGGCTCGTAGCTAGGGAACATTGTCTTCTCAGTGGTGGCACCCTAGCATCAATGAAATTCCCTCCCTAGAGGTGTTTACCTGGTGCCCATCATTTTGATGATACATTAACATAATAGCTACTGTGAGCACTGGTACATCCCACATGTACATGTGTACGTCTGTTTGTAAAAAAGAGCCAGCGCAGATTCACTTTACAAATGAACTCGGGGACCAGTCCCAGAATAAATGTGGGGTATAAATCACACATTGCACTGTACATGCATTGAACGTAGCATGAAAATTGCTCAATTCATGTATCAAAAAAAAATCAAGTGTATACTGTACCTCCGGGTCCCCAAGCTTTTTGAGTCTGTGGGCATCTTTGGAATTCTGGCATAGCATTTTTTTTGGGGGGGGGCACAGCCACAAAATGGCTTCCATGAAATAGCTGCTGGAAGAGGTGAGGTTATCCATAAAATAGCTGCTGCAGCTTACCTTCAGTCACTCAGTAAGGATCCCTGTGCTGTGGTGGCAGCAGTGTTTTTTTTAATCTGCACACCCAATCAGATCTCCAGTGGCCAAGCAGAAACCTTGCTGGGCAAAACCCCACATGCCCCATGCACTTTCTAAAAACAGTTGGTGGGCACCATGTTGGGGACTCCGGTTGTACACAGATCAAACGTTTATTCACAGGTTACTAGGCTGAGCATTTGAATGGGGAGGTATATAAAGTACCATAGGTTACCGCTTTACTGTCTAACCCATTTATTTGGTATCTTAGTCATTTGATTATTACCATGGTTTTTTCCCATTATTGCATGCTTTTTTAAATTACCTGCCTTAAATACTTCAGGTAGAAAGGCAGAGTGTAAATATTGCAAACAAAATTAATCCAGTGTCTTATAGCCACTGTAAGGCGGGGGGGGGGAGACCCGTTACGAGCACGGGAGGCAGGGCAGTACAGAATGAAAACTGAAATGGGGAGGAAGGTTGGAGGGAAAGTGACTTGAGAGATCGCTATGGTAACCAGTCTGCCATGTCTCTCCAGCCTATGGGAAGGTGTTCCTGGTGCGCAAGCTCAGTGGCCACGATGCCAGCAAACTGTACGCAATGAAGGTGCTGCGCAAAGCGGCCATAGTGGCCAAGGCCAAGACAACGGAGCACACGCGCACTGAACGAGCTGTGCTGGAACATGTGCGCCAGTCGCCTTTCCTGGTGACGCTCCACTATGCCTTCCAGACTGACTCCAAGCTCCACCTTATCCTAGGTATGAGGATACAAGGGAATCAGGGTGGGACATGGGAGTGTGGGGAGGAGGGAGGGAAGTGGACTCCAAAATTATGTTTTGCCACCAAGGTGATAGTTGTGCATGGAGGATGACGTTTATGAGGCTGTAAGATCGTGTGGGGAAACCTTAACTGAGATGAAGTGAGGTGTGTGCAGACTCTGTCCCCTAAAATTCTGTGCCTAAGTCAGCTTTGGTTTTTCATCTTTCTCCGGACACTAGCCTAAGGGTAGTCTGGGAAATAAAAATGACCTTAGAGCCCACCTCACATGGTTGTAGGTTTGCTAGGTGTGGGCCTGAACCCTAGGAGACTTTTGAGGGCGGGGCGTGAAGAAAAGGATGTTGGCATTTCCAGCTGGGACCTGGAAGTGACATCACTGACACTCTAGGATTTTGCCTGGTGGAGATCAGAAAGAGTCCTAGAGTGTCACCAGTGCCACTTCTGGGTTCCTGCTGGAAGTGGCATCGAGGCATAGCTGATGTCCCCCCCATGCCCCCGATTCAGTTGAGCACCAGGCAGGATGAGGAAACCTCAGCAGGAGCTTTCCTGTTGATAGGCAGGAGATGGCAAGCCTACCTGGTTATCCCTAGTCATGTGACTAGCCTGTGTCACGTGACTGGTCTGTGTCATGTTAATATATCACTTTCAGTCTAACTAATTCCTTTTTTGAGCGAGTGTGCTGAAGTGAAGGGGCGGTGAGGCCATAGTTGTAACCACTCTTCTTCCTCACACTGAGGGAGGTCCTAGAAGGAGAGCAATGGCCGCCACCGCCACTACCACCTCCTCCTTGCCAGTTGCCATTTCCTCATGAAGAGGTGAGGCTGCAGAGGTTACAGTACTGACTGCCTTCTTCCTGAGGAGGAAGAAGAAAAGGCGATAGAGCTACCATCTCCTGAGTGTGAAAACAGTGGTCCAGATGCAAGACAGTTGTCTGCCTCCTGTCTTCCTCCTCTACAGACCTGGCTCTCTTCTTCCTTGGACCTGGCCTGCAGGGAAGACAATGGCTATAAGCTTGCTCATTATTTCCTCCTATGCTTCTATTAGCCAGTGGCCACAGGCAGCCATCCCGAGTGGAGAAAGTCCTTGTGAAGTTAAATGGCCTATCTGGCCCCTGACTGCTTCCCAAGCTTTGGGGGGGGGGAATTGTGCAGTCATGAGGACTAGAAACTCCATGTTTGTAGCACTTGGTTTTTTTGATGGTGGACTGTTGGAGTTCCAGGGCTTGCTCCCTAGAACTGTGGATGCTCAAAACACACACAACTTTAATAGGGAAGGGGACATACAGGAGCCCCCCCTCCACCCCTGTCCATATTATTGTGGCATAGAGAATTTGAGAGCGCTGAAAGCGTGTTTTGGAACTGGGAAACTGAGGCTGGACTAGATGCTCCCGAATTGATTCCTTACCTCTCTTCTTATAGACTATGTGAGTGGCGGGGAGCTTTTTACCCATTTGTACCAGCGGGACCACTTCTCCGAGGAAGAGGTGCGCTTCTACAGTGGGGAGATCATTTTGGCACTCGAACACTTGCACAAGGTAAGAATGGAGAACAGGGATGAAGCGGAAAGGGAAGAAACTGTGTGAGCTGGGTCTGTGTTAGAAAGAACCAAGTGGTGGGAAGAAGCATCTTGACTCCTTATCCCTGGCTAATGCTGGTGTGCTATCCTTGCTTCTTCCCTGGGCCCCCTTCTAAATGCAGATGGCAAAGATAAGGACAGGTGCACGTCCCAAAGAGGCTTGTTGCACTCTTTTTAATGTACGTTGGAGTAGCGTGTCAGCAAATTGAATGCTGGCGTGTGCTACATCCACACCAGCTGGAGGAGAACAAGACAGCAGCAGGCAGGCAATTGAAAGCAAAGGAAGAAGATACCCTGTTGCACAGTTCGTCTCAGACAAGCAGTTGTCAGGGTACCATGTTCCTTCAAAAAGAGAGGAAACGGCTGTAGTGATGGAAGTGCCACCTTGTGAGGCAGTGTAGCTGTGGCATATCAGTGTTAAGTAATAATGCTTAGCATTGTTTCCAAATGATCTGAGATTTAGCAAAGGGTCTACCATAGCAAGGCGTTCCGTGCACCTTGGTGTTTAGTCATGCCAGCCACATGACCACGGAAACGTCTTCGGACAGCGCTGGCTCTTCGGCTTTGAAACGGAGATGAGCACTGCAACCCTACAGTCGGATTCGACTGGCTTTCGAGCAAGGGAACCTTTACCTTTACTTTTACCACCATAGCAAAGGGCTGTTATGTGAAAGGACAGGGGCAGGTCAGGAAGCATTTACACCTGTAGATTGCACCAAAGGGTTGGATCCTGCAGATCTCTTCCACTAACGGTGGCATTGGCAGAAGGCTCTTTGTGCCAGAGGAAAGAGCTGCAGTTAGGGGAACTGATCCATCCCAATGGTTCCTGCATGCCAGCATACAAGAGAAATCACAGTCCACGTGTGTTGCATGAATAAGGAAGATGGCTGCAAGGATATAGGTTTCCAGCCTCTAGCTTGACTATACCTGCTATTGATGTCGGCTGACCTCTGTGTACCAGATATTGGGAAAGAAACAACAGGGGAGGGGGTTTGCCCATATGCCTTGCTTGTGCGTTTTCTAGAGGCATCTGGCTGAAACAGGGTGCTGGGCTAGAGAGACCTTTGGCCTGATCCAGTGGGAAGTGCTCCAGGAAGTTGTGGTGGGTGGCTATAAGCATAGACAGCTTCAAGCGGGGATTGGATTAACTATGCAGCAGAGGTCCATGAGTGGCTATTAGCCACAAGATATAGATGGAACGCTGTGTCTGGGGCAATGGTGCTCTGTATTCTTGGTGCCTGGGGGCAACAGTGGGAGGGCTGCTGGAGTTCTGGCCCTGCTGGTGGACCTCCTGGTGGCTCCTGGGTTTTGGCCGCTGTGTGACACAGAGTGTTGGACTGGACGGGCCATTGGCCTGATCCAACGTGGCTTTTCTTATGTTCTTGTTACAAAAAAGTGGCATCAGAACCAACAATTATGGAATTAAAGTCTGGGATGTGGATGGAACAGGTAATGAGGAGGGGTTGTGGCTCAGTGGATGGGGCATTCGCTTGATTCAACATGGCTTCTCTTATGTCCGTATGACATTTCCTGTGTTCTTACCAGCAGCTGTTAGCTATTATAGCTAAATGGAGCGTCAATATTCAAAGGCAGTGCATCTTTGAATAGTGGGAGCAGTGGGGGTGAACAGCAGTGGAGGCCCTTGGCCTTCATGCCCTGCTTGTGGACTACCTAGAGATATCTGGCGTGCCCTAGCTGGAAACAGAGTCAAGGTGGACTTTGGTTCTGATCCAGCAGGGCTTTCCTTACAGTCTTGTAACCCTCACGTGAGTCGGGACTTAGTTCAGGAGCCTGATTTGATATGGAGCTTAGCTTCTGAACCAGAGGAAGTGCTTGGTGCATGCCCTGCCTTGAGCATTTCTTTTATGGGCTGAGAAATGGCATCCCCGTGCCACACAGCAGGGGTCAAAGGGCAGGACCTCTGAGGTCAGAGAAAGGAGCACAGCTTTCAGACTGTTTCTCTGTTCTCCCCAAGCCCAGTTTTGCTCTTCTTTGGCCCCGGTCATACGAGAGGTCTTGGGCCGGGAGAGGGATGGATCGGGGGCGGAGCAAACGGGTGCGATCCCACCGCAACATCTGGGAAGCGTTGCGCACCTGTCCCCGATCCGGCCCTTCTGCCCAAAACACGGAGCAGAAATGAACCACCTACGGAGGTGGTTCTTCTGGGACGGCCGCATCAAGGCCGGCCGTGGGATCGCCTGCGCGTCCTTTCGCCGGCGCATCCCCGGCTCCTGGCCAAACTGCGCATGCTCAGACATGCGCAGTTCGGCAGCCTCCCCCTCCCGACCATCTTCCTCCCCGGCATCTGATCGTGCCAGGGAGCAACGGCGCCGCGGCTCAGGGGATCCGTGGGATCCCGCCACAGCGTCTCTATTTTGGTGCGGCTCTAATTAGCCGCACTTTGGCCGATGTTTTTCCTGCCGTGTGGCAGGGACCTTTGTTATTTAGCTTCTCTGACGGAGTTCCCTTATTTGTTTCCTTCTTCTGGGGAGAGGGGATGGTGAAGGTGTCCCCTTCTCTATCCCAGCAACCAGCTGTTGAGGTGGAAAGCCAGAAGGAGGCAAGCCAGCGCTGCTGATCTGTTGGTTCCCTGAGTTTTCCCTGATAAGATCTTGACTCCATCTTTCCCCTAGCTTGGCATCATCTACCGCGACGTGAAGCTGGAGAACATCTTGCTGGACAGCGAAGGGCACGTGGTGCTCACGGACTTCGGACTGAGCAAGGAGTTTGTGACCGAGGATGTGAGTGTTTGCACACCCTGCCTCCCCTGGGAGTTTCTTTTTCCACCCCCATGAGATTTGTCAGTACCAAGACACAGGCAACTTCAGGGACCGGGATTTAAGGACAGGCACGGTCTAGGGCAGGGTCAGCAACCTTTTATAATTAAAGAGCCAAACCATGTCAATGTTCAGAGCCAGAGATCATAGAATCGTAGAATCCCAGAGCTGGAAGGGGCCCTACAGGCCATCTAGTCCAACCCCCTGCCCAATGCAGGATCGGCCTGGAGCATCCCTGACAAGTGTTTGTCCAGCCGCTGCTTCAAGACGGCCAGTGAGGGGGAGCTCACCACCTCCCCTAGGCAGCCCATTCCACTGTTGAACAACTCTGACTGTCAAAAAGTTTTTCCTAAGATCCAGCCGGTACCTTCCTGGTGCCTTTCATTAAAACCCATTATTGCGAGTCTTTTCCTCTGCTGTCAACAGCTCCCTGCCCTCCTCTGAGTGGCAGCCCTTCAAATACTTCAAGAGAGCCATCCTGTCCCCCCTCAGCCTCCTCTTCTCCAGACTGGACATTCCCAAGGTCCTCAGCCTTTCCTCACAGGGCTTCTTGGTCTCCAGGCCCCCCTGATCATGCTCGTCTCTCTCCTCTGCACCCACTCCATTCTGTCCACATCCTTTTTGAAGATCAACAAAGAGCTAGTGTAAGGAAGCACATTTGCATAACTGAAAATATATAGCTGGCTTGTTGGGTTCATAATGCATGAAGTTGCTGCAGCCCAAACATGGGTATTTGTGTCCTTTATTAGGAAGTGGCACACTTGAAGTCTCACGATCAGTAATTAAATATACACAGGATGTCCTTCTATCGTTGCTCAATAGAGAGCATTTTAACATACTGCGTCTGTGCCTGGTTTGCCAGTTGTACGGCTGTGGATAGGAAAGCACTCCAGAGAGTTATCATCACAGCCCAGAAGATTATTGGCTGTCCTCTCCCATTCCTGGAGGAATTGTATAGCTCTCGATGTTTGAAAAAAGCAAAGAACATTTTGCAGGATTTGTCACACCCTGAACACTCCCTGTTTGAACTGCTGCCTTCGGGTAGAAGATATAGGACAATTAAAACAAGGACAAACAGATTAAAAAAACAGTTTTTATTCGAGAGCTATTATTGCTTTAAATGCTGCATGAAGTTGGAATTTCGGTGACATTGGTGGTTTAGGTTGCAATGTGAACCTTAAGGGAGTTATGGGATGGTTATTATTATTATCATCATCATCATCATCATCATTATTATTATTATTATTATTATTGTTGTTACAGGAGCACCCTGCGTGATTGTGTAAATGCACTGGCATACATCTGTGCATGATTCGCATGTGTTCCTGGCATTCATTCACCTATACTGTTTCCCTTTCCATGAACCCTCTCTAAGAAACCCTTTAGTCCCGTAAAAATATTTGCCTGCCGTTGCCTCCACATACTAGCATTCCACTGGCCCCTCCAATAGACCTTTACGTTAAACATACTAGACTTGAGTCCAGTAGCACCTTACAGACCAAAACAATAAGCTTTTGAAAGTCAAAGCTTCCTTCATCAGATACCTTGGTGCTTTTAGTCTCTAAGGTGCTGCTGGACTTGAGTCTAGCTCTCCTACTGCAGACCAACACAGATACCTTCTGAAGCTGAGTAAATATGGCTCTTTTAGAAAAAGAAAAGAAAATCAGATCTTTGTGTTTTCTTTAAAAAAGAGAGAGCCATGTTTAGTTCCATACAGAAGAAGAAGAAGAAGAAGAAGAAGAAGAAGAAGAAGAAGAAGAAGAAGAAGAAGAAGAAGAAGAAGAAGAAGGGAAGAAGAAGAAGAAGGGAAGAAGAGATTGGATTTATACCCTACCGTTCACTACCCAAAGGACTCTCAAAGTGGCTTACAATCCACTTCCCCTCCCCACAACAGACACCCTGTGAGGTAAGTGCGGCTGAGAGAGCTCTTTCCAGAACTGCTTCTGAGAGAACAGCTCTGAAAGAACTTATGACTGACCCAAGGTCACACCAGCAGCTGCATATGGAGGAGTGGGGGACTCAAACCCAGTTCTCCCAGATTTGAATCTGCGCTCTTAATCACTACACCAAACTGGCTCTCAAACTGGGCCATGTTTGGATCTGAAACCATAGCTTGCCAGTTTTGTGTAGTGGTTAAGTGTGTGGACTTTAATCTGGGAGAACTGGGATTGATTCCCCACTCCTCCACTTGCAGCTGCTGGATGACCTTGGGCAAGCCATAGTTCTGTCAGACTGTCCTTGAAAGGGCAGTTCTGGAAAGAGCTTCCTCAGCCCCACCCACCTCACAGGGTGTCTGTTGTGGGGAGGGGAAGGGAAAGGAGTTTGTAAGCCGCTCTGAGACTCCGAGTGAAGGGCAGGGTATAAATCCAGTCTCTTCTCTCTTCTTGTTCTTCTGAACTGACTGAAGTCAAGGGATCGTGGGTTAACAGCCCAGAAGGTTGTGCCAGGTGTCTGTGGAGAAAAATAGCATTCAGAAATCTGGGATTGTGTCTGTCGACAGATAATAGTTTTTTGAAGGTAGTGTGATCGTCGCAGTGTTTCTCACAACACACGAGTCGGTGTCTGTCGCCTGCTGCTGTCTCAGACCAAATAGGATTTGGGGGCTTTCGAGCCACTACAGAAACCTGTGAACAGACGCAGAAGAGCGATGGATAAGCTCACCACAGGCAACAGTGCCCTGTTATGTCACTTCAACTCTTTTTGCAAAAATCTGTCTCTGCAATGGGAACTTGAGGTTGAAGCATGAAACAAGATATAGGATTGGAATACAGGTAACAAAATAGGTGGCAGGTCAGAAGAGACAGAGGCTGGAAGAATAAAATTTATGTATTTATTTAATTCATTTATACCCTTCCTTTCTCCCCAATGAATTATGTGATTCTTCTCTCTTCCATTTTATCCTCCACAAGAACCCTGTGGATAGGCTGAGAGTGTGTGGCTGGCCCAGGGGCATCCAGTGAGCTTACATGGCACAGGTGGGGATTCAAACCTGGGTTTTCCAGGTGCTAGTCCAACACTCTTCACCACTATACCACACTGGCTTCTAAAGTTCTAAAAGTCATGTATTAATCAGGCAAGAGAACCACTTAGGGAATGCATCCCTATCTCTTTGACTAGATTCTGTACAATAAATGACTGTGTGAATTAACTGGGACGGTGAACTAGCCGTGCATATCAAAGGTACAAATCCCTTTGGCTGTGGAAAAAAATGGGATTCCATTTGTCTTGTGCTAATAACATTACTGTAGTTATAATGAGCTATAAAAAGGTTATGGGGAGCAGTCCTAATTAGGTCTGCTCAGAATCAAGTCCCCTGTTATGCATTAGGGTTTACTTGCAGGAAAGTATTCTTAGGCCCCAGTCACACGGGCCGGAAAATGCGGGGGGGAGTGTGGCTGTTTGCCCTGGAGGAAAATAACGCGCGGCCGCCCAATCACACGTCCCGGTCGAGATCCCGTTGGTAGGGGGGAGATGCCGATCACATGAGTATCCTGCAGCGCGGCAAAGAAGCCGCGCGGCGTGATCACACTAGCAATCGCTCTTTATGTGCATGCGCTGTTGGGCGCTTTTGCGCATCCTGCGGAGACTTGGGAAAAAAAACACCCTTGTTTGTGACGAACATCTGCGGGCGCCGGATGCCACGTAATTCCACCGGAAATGCGATCCACCGGAAATGCCCGCCCTTGGCCCGCAGTTTCCGGAAACTAGTACCTCGTAAGTACTAGTTTTTTAATCCGCATCTTCGGCAGGAAGCCACAGGTTCTCCACGGGAGCACTGCGCTTCCCAGATGTTGCAGTGTGATTGCGCCCGGAAAATCCGCCTATCATCCGTATCTTCAGTGCGGCAAAGGCTCTGTGTGAACGGGGCCTTAGTATGGCACTGTAGTTCACTACAAACATCAACCGTATTGCTCATGTACTGTTGCTGTGATGGCATGGAGCATTCAGCAGCTCAGGAAACCAAACATGTCACAGTCCAGCTTCTCTGAGGGAAGCAGAAGTTATCAGTTTGGCTGAGGTTAAAGCCTGAGGAATGTGAAGAGGTCCTGGGGCACGGGGAAGCTAAAAGATGGGGAGTCCAGAGGCAAGGAAGGTAAAGGAAGGGTGCAGAACAGGGACAGACTGAGAAAGAGGAACAAGTAAGTAGAAAGTGAGAGAGACACAGAACTGAGAGAAGAAGGACCCAATTAGAGCAGGGGTCTGAAAAAACATCACAGCATTTAAGGTCACAAAAGGGCTTTGTGGGGAGGGAAGGAAAGAAGAGTCCTGGGAGGCTGGGAAGTAATGGCTTCTGGACACAAAAAGTGGGGCTTGGGATGGCTTGAAAAACAGTAACTTGAGGAAACAACGGATAGTGGAGACAGAGCTGAGGAAAGGCTTTTAACCAAGGCAGAGCTCTGGGGGCTTTGTATTGTTTTAATGTGGTTGTTCTCTACCTTGGGTTCTGGGAGTCCCGGGAGAAAGGCAGATATATAAATATTGCATATTAATAAATGAGAAAGCAGGACTGGGAGTGTATGCATCTGGCAGGAATGGAATAGGCAGATGAGGGGAGACTGGAAGGCTGTGGACTGTGGAGCAGGAAGACAGTTGGTAGCTGAGACCCTGGTCGGGACAAAATGCCCAGCTGCACCTGACACGGCGTCTGTGGCACTGCGATCTGGCGTCCTTAAGAGAGAAAACAAGAGCACAGAAAGCAACGGGGAGTGGGGGAATGTGTGAAGTGTCACATGCTGATTTGAAGTAACCAGCTGGTTGGCTTCTGATTGTTTAAACACTCTCTGCTTTCCCCCCATATTTTTTAACTCTGAATGTATGCAAAAACCTGTGTCTGGACTTCATTGAATCTTGCAATCACGCCCCGCCCCCCCAAAAAATATCCTTGTCATACAGATACATAGCCCAAAGTTTTTGGGGCGACCTTCAAGGTATAGTTAGAGGCACCATTAAGCATTGTGAAGCGTAAAAAACAATAACTATGGAGGGAGCATTCCAGTATTTAATATATACACATCGCTTTCTCCACTTCCATCTGCAGGTGAAAGTTCTTAACATTTTAAGAACATGCACTAGGATTGTCCCATAATTTTGCTTTTTAGGAACAGTTTTAGAAAAAAGACGATTAAGGAGTGGGGACGTTACAGGATTCTGTCATTCTGCATGGGGTGGAGAAAGTTAGATAGAAGAATGAACTTTTCCCTCCCTCCCTCCTACAACTACTGAAACTACCGGGCAGACCATTAAATTAACGGGCAGTAGATTCAAGACAGACGAAAGGAAGTGGTTCCTTACTGAAAGGGTAATTAACTGGTGGAACCCACTGCCTCATGCTGCAGTGGCGGTTGCTCGTTTAGTTGGCGAAAGGGGATTAGACAAATTCACAGGGGAGAGGCCTATTGACAGCTATAAACTACATAAGCTAAATGGAACTCTCAGAAGCAGTAACTCAATGAATAATGTGATGGAGGAGAATGACGGGGAAAACCTCAGGCCTCTGTTCTCTGGTTCTTGGCCTTCCGGGGGCAGCTGGTTGACCACTGTGGAAAACAAGTTGCAGCACCGAGCAGGGGGTTGGACTAGATGGCCTGTCTGGCCCCTTCCAGCTCTGTGATTCTATGACTAGATGGACCACTGGTCTAATTCAGTACGACTCCTCTTATGTGCTAATATCTTGTTAAACTGCTGTCGGTGTGACTTGGTAGTATAGTCATTCTTCACTACACTAGAATGTGAACTGATGCACTTTGTCTATTCACACGCATCTATGCCAGTACTGTGCATGAACAGTTAAGACGCCATGCGGTACGCAGCCTGCCAGTTCACACCCTGAAGCTTTGGAAGTATATTGTGTACTGTTGTTACATATTTCAGGACAATTATATTCTTTCTTTCCCCCTAGTATATCTCTACCACAGGAACCATCACCCTCTTAGCTTGTGTATCAGCTGAGAACAGACTATTTCAGTTGCGGTGCATAGCCCGACAGGGAAGAGCCTTAAACAATGTCTAGAAAAGGCGGGGCTTGCAGGGTTATCCCTGGTATGAGAATAAAGGTATTAGAAGGATGTCCTTACTGTCATTGTTGAACCAACTGGGAAATATGCCGGTCCAGTCTGGTCTTTTGGGCCTGTCAAAGAACAGCTTTGCCATATGACCTGCTGTTTGTGTAGAGTAGACCACCCTACCTGAGAAGGTTGTCTCCTGACCAGAAAAATAAAAATATGTTGGCCTGGTCCTGAACCACTGACAACTATTTTAGTGGCAGCTATCAGCAGATGAAGGTTTTCATGGGCAGAGATCAGGGTGGTCACCTGCTCTCTTCTGCCAATAAAGGTAGCAGAAAAGCAGCTAGGATAAAAAGGTGGCTATGCTGGTTGGGGAGGGATGCCTTTGTTCTGATATTTCTCGTCTTTTCATTACATCTCTGCTGTACCCTCCACACAGAAAGAACGGACTTTCTCCTTTTGCGGCACCATTGAATACATGGCCCCAGAAATTGTACGGAGTAAAAGCGGGCATGGCAAGGTAGGAGCATGGTGTGGCTAAGGGAAGGTGTTGGTATTGGGGCCAGCTGGCGGAAGAAATTTGGTGGGAGAAAGGAATTGGTAGAGAGAGTGGACGTGGTGCTGGTTTATGTGGTAGTCATGAAGGTGCTAGCTTTCTATTTCAAAAATATTGCTTCTCCCACATCCGCATCCTGGCAGGGCCAGTGGGTGGGGAGGAGAGGACCCACAACATATGGAACCAAAGCAACATGGAAGGTTTGGGGTGGAGCCAAGATGGAACCAGGGCAGATCCTAGCAATGAAGGGGCGAAGCCACGTGGGTTCCAAATGGAGAGGGAAAAGGGTTCACATCCATAAATGTTAGTAGGCTTTGTGTTAGAACAGATGTGGTTCTTATTGACCAAAGGCAGAATTAATAAGCTTATTATGTGAAACAATGAAGTTTGCTGTTTCAGATAGCATATCATATGTTACTACAGAAGTTGCTTCATATTTTTAGAACAGACTGAGGGAAAAATTAGTTTAGACCAGGGTGTTGGTAATTTAACGGGAAGAATTAAGTTATTAAGTAGGCTCATAAAACACTGCTGAAATGTTTTATAATTTAGTAATAGTTCTGTAGAAAATGATATGCTGTTGACTTTCATACAGAAACTGAAAATTAATGTCAGATATAGGGTATTCTTTGTTCTTTGTTCCATTCTTTGCTCAGTATAGAAAAGATGGGGAATTCCTAGATTCAGAAACATTCAGTTTCTGTCTGAGCTCTTGAAACTTACTGTGCCCTCCAGGTGTTCTTTGGGGCTAGCTGGCTGAAGTGCAACTCCAGCAGCTGAAGTGAGCCAGTACAGTTAATCAAGGCAGAAATTTCCATGCCTATGATGTACAAAGGCAGGAGACCACTTGGCTCAATTCATGGGTGTTTTTCGGAGTCCTTAAAGATAGTAAAAAGAGCTTTAGTTAACGTTTTGTACTCAGTCACCAGCCCCGCTGTGCAAACTGCATTGGATTTACTACAGTTTTTATTCATTAATTCAGAGTATTTATTCTACCATCTTTGTGAAATGCTTAAAGTGGCTAACAAAAATGTAAAAACATTATGACAGATACAACCAATAGTAGAAATTTATTGACAGCTACAGTTTATAAAGGAGCTGCGGTGGCTCGAGTGGTTAAGACACTGAACTGCAGGCTGTGGAAGTTCAGTAGTTCATCAGTTCGAGACACGGGTGCCGCAAGACGGGGTGAGCTCCCGTCTCTAGTTCCAGCTCCTGCCAACCTAGCAGTTCAAAAGCAAGAAATTGCAAGTAGATAAATAGGTACCGCTTTGGTGGGACGGTAACAGCGTTCCGTGCGCCTTGGTGTTTAGTCATGCCAGCTACATGACCACGGAAACGTCTTCGGACAGCGCTGGCTCTTCGGCTTTGAAACGGAGATGAGCACCGCAACCCTAGAGTCAGATTCGACTGGCTTTCGAGCAAGGGAACCTTTACTTTACAGTTTATAAAAAGAAGCAGAGTTCCTGCTGTAACTAGCTGAAAGGCAGCGATCAGATGTATTTTATTTATTTATTATTTTATTTATAGTCCACCTTTCTCACTGAGACTCAAGGCGGACTTAAGTTTCCAAATGCCCTCCAGACAGACCAAATCAAGCCTGACCTCTCCTTAGAAGCTAAAATGGCCAAGCTGAGGCTTTCATACTTTGGTCACACTATGAGAAGACAAGACTCACTGGAAAGGACAACAATGCCAGGGAAAGTGGAAACCGCAGGAAGAGGGGGAGACCCAACTTGAGATGGATGGACTCTTTAAAAGAAGCCACAGCCCTCAGTTCCCAAGCCCTGAGAATGGCTGCTTGTGACTGGACATTTTGGAGAACGTTGATTCATTTTATTCATTTATTTATTGGGGTTTATGTTCAGGTCTAGGGGCCAGGAGGCCCCGAAATCCCCTAAAGAACAGAATCAGCTGCCAAGTGGCAGACCCGACAGTAGCGGAGACACCTGGTATTTCTCTGCCGCCCTCCCCACTGCCTCAGGGGCCTTCCAGCCGTGGGCTCCGCAGCTTCACTCAAAAGGGCTTCTTGGCTAATGACTCTGGAGACGTCTCCCGGCCCTCTCCAAGTCATCCTGCTCTCGCGTAAGCTAGGTGGGCCTGGGCCAACGCCTATGGCATAAGCTGGCTCAGTGCATGATTTTAGCGGAGTTGTGCAGGGGAGGCCGATGGAATTAGACATCGGCTGCATCAACCAAAGGCCTGGCGGAACAGCTCCATTTCACGTCAATTCATAGGGTCACCATCAATGCTCTCTCTAAGCTGTGGAGGCTTGTGAGCAAAAATTCTACTTTGTGAGCTACTGGCATTAAAGTTGTGAGCGAGCGATTTGGCTGCTACATAAATTAGTTTGCTCTGGAGGCGTCCTTCCTGAGCTAAGACAAAACTGTATGAGCCAGAGGCTAAAAAACTGTGAGCTAGCTCACGCTAACTCAGCTTAGAGGGAACACTGGTCGCCATAAGTCGGAAGCAACTTGAGGGCATGTTGGCTAATGACTCTGGAGACGTCTCCCGGCCCTCTCCAAGTCATCCTGCTCTCGCGTAAGCTAACCCATTGCATTTCGAACACTAATTGGCCGCATGAAAGCACCCCCTCTCAGATCAGTCCCATGTTGCTTGATCCGCATTCGTGGACAGGGAGGGTCCCCGTTATTTGCCGACCTCCTCCAGGATAAGTAGGGCGCAGCCTGAAGGCAAAGGTCCTGAGGCAATCTGGGATGAGGCAGGTTTGAGGAAGCAAGGCGCCGTGCAGTGCAAAGCCACGCCAGTCTCGTACGACGAGTGTTTTCTTCCCCCAAGCAAAGGCATTGGTGTTCCATGCCAACGGCAAACACTTCCCAAGAGTCACTGTTTGGGCGGGCTCCAGAAGCAGCTTATAAAACATACAGATGGATCACCCAGCTGTCAGTTGTGCTCCTGGGCCCCCCCCTTGCAATACTCCAGGAGGGCCTCTGGGTAAGATGGCTCTATTTCTAGGAAGAAGGAGAAGAGATGGCTCACACGTTCTACTCTTTGAGCTGGATGCCTTTCCCCCAAACACGTCGATGTGCTTGTGTCGTGGTTGCTCCGTAAGAAGTGACCATTCTGCACATTTCTTCTTTAGAGGCTGTCTAGAAGCTGCGGTGGCTCAAGTGGTTAAGACACTGAACTGCAGGCTGTGGAAGGTCATTCCCCGCCCCCCAGCCCGATTTGGGAACCCTAGGGCATGTAACACACACACACATACACACACACACAGATAATGCAGGGAGGAAAGGGACGAGGTGGCAAGGTTGCCAGCTCCAATTTGGGGGATTCCTGGAGATCTGGAGGCAGAGCACGGAGAGGGTGGGGTTTGGGGAGGGGAAGGAACTCAGCAGGGATGTGACGCCTTCGCACCCGTCCTTTAAGGCTGGCATTTTCTCCAGGGGACTGACCCTTGTAGTCTGGAGATGAACAGTAGTTCCAGGAGAACTCTAGTCCCCACCTGGAGGCTGGCAACCCTACAAGGCAGTTCTCCTGAGACAGGGAGATTCCACAGTCTGAGTGCTGTGGCTGAGAAACTCCTCCCACAGAACGGACACATGTAACAGGGGTCATTTTGTAGAAAAAGAGGTGCAGGATCTCATTAACATAACTCATTAGCATAACTTATTTGCATATGCCACACACCCTGACATCACCGGAAGTGTGTCAGAAGGCAACACCCACCGCTCAGGCTCCACTGGACTGTTTTGAATTGCTAGCT